CAAGCTGTGAGAGCGAGCGAGCGAGCGAGCGAGAGAGAGAGAGAGAGAGAGAGAGAGAGAGAGAGGGAGGGGGGAGATTTTTTCCTAGAGACGACGTAGTCGTGGACGGCCGCAATCACAGTGGACGGACACGACAAGACGAGTGTGAAAGCACGGAGGCAACAAAACACACTAGGGTTCGGGAGAAGGCTAGGGTTAACACACCAGGGCACAAGCCAGTGACGGGCTCCTGCCCGACGGAGAGTGTAGTGCCGAAGGCGCTCTTTTTGATCGATCGAGAAGTCGAGGAGAGCACTTTTCGCACCCACACGGCGGCACAGCACATGCAGGCGACCCTCACGGGTAAGCGGAAGCTAGGCATCGGCAAATGCTGGGGCCAAGAGATTGGCATCGGGTCCTCCGCGTGCACCCTCACCGAGCCAAACTCGGCGGCGTTTCGGCAGCGGTTCTGCGGCCATTGCCTTAAGCATGGGGTCGCCGTGCCGGCGTCCCGCGTGCTCGTGGTCCTCGATCCAGCGCTCTCGCCCGCGAACCACCACGGATCGGGCGTGTGGAATGAACCGCGCCCCGGCGCCACCTCGTGGCCGGCGCATCGCATCGTCAACCAAACGTCAGGATGCCTCGGCCCGAAGCTGGTCGTGCTCCGCGAGGAGCGCGGGCCAATGGACCCGGAGCTGCCAGGCCTCGTCGGCATTCCGTGCGCGCCCGGCGGGATAGTCATCTTTCGCGTCGCGCGCACCCTCCAGCCAGCGCAGCTGCCGGCCCTCGCCCGGCCGTGGCCCAACGCCGCAGCGCCGGTGGCGGCTCCGACGGCTCCAACGTCGCCGCTCGCCGATGCAGAGTCGTCGACGGGGGAGTCGTCTTCGCTGGCGGTCGCGGCGGCGGCGGCGGGCAGGCCGTGGGCGATGCCGCCGCTCCATCCCGCCTCCCTCCCGACCGCCAGGCCTCCCCCCCTCGCGCGTCGACCGCAAGCCTCGCCCTCGCCGCAGACGCCGCTCGCGCACGCAGACGCCGCCTCCGACTCGGGCTCGCCAGCGCCGCTGTGGTGCCCCCCCCCCTAACCCTCCCCCCACCCACCCACCAAACCCCTCCCCCCCCCCCGG